CCCAAGAATCACACCACGTGCCCGAGAGCATTGTCCAAACGCTTCTTGAGCTCTGGCAGGCTCTGGCAGCTGTTGTGGTCTGAGGGTTGCCCAGCTCCTGCCTTGCACTGTCCCATTCCCTGACCCAGTATAGCAGCTTCTTCCCTGGGATCTGTCTGGGGCTGTGGTGCATGGACAGCTGAGCCCCATGTCTGCAGGCACCAGTGCAGCCTGTGTCAGGTAAGAAGAGGAATGCATGTGATGGACCCACAGACATTGCAGTGCCCACAGTTCCAGCAGCACTGGGGTGGATCTGAAACTGGTGTCTCTACCCCCATTTGTGTGGGACAAGGCAGCAGGAATCTGCCTGCCCATGGATCCTATTTGGGGCTGAGACTCTGTGTTTCTTCTGCTGCCAACACTGCCAGTGCAGTGGCATTAGCAGGGGGTTAAGATGAAGCTTGGGCTTAGGCAAACAGCTTAGGCTTGACTCTTTCTCTGCAGTTATATTTGCATTTGAATTGCGTTTGAATTTCCATTTTCTTCCCCTGCCTGCTGGTTAATTGCTTGCAGAAGCCTGAGCCTGCAGACTTGCTGTGGCACTGGCTGGGTCAGTCGGTTGGGCACAGCTCAGCTCGCCTTCTGTTCGGGTGGAGAGGGCTCAGCCAGCGTGTTCCTCCTTGCTGGCCGTGTGTGGGGGGGTGATGCTGAAGGAGTCTGGCTACAGTAAATTGTCATTGGTAATTACACCCCAGATGAAATCCCTGGCACGGGGTCTGTCTCTCAGCAGCAGCTGGACACGGGGAGGGGAAGGGGCCAGTGGGAGATCAGGCAGCTGGCAGAGCTGCAGGACTGTCCATGCTCACTCTGCCCAAAAGCAGTCAGGGGCTTTTTAGGACTGATTTGAAAGGAAAGGAGCCAAGTCCCAGCTGCTGATGCTCACGAGAGGGTCTGGCAGCACAGACACAGGAGATCCCATCGGATATTTCCAGGGCTGGGAGGATTTCATAGTGGTGTGCCAAAGGGAGACTTGTGGCAGGATCCTACAGTACCTGTCTCCTGGCAAAGCACTCACTGCCTCCTTTTTGGAGGATTCATTGTGAGGAGGAGGAGGAGGACTGAATACCTGGAGGATTAGAGGGCACTCTTGTAGGAAAGAATGCGGTTTTTGCCTGAATTCCCTCCGAGGCAGCAGTTTTGCTCACTGCTCCTTTGCTTATCTTTGTCTTGTTGGCTACAGGGCTTTAAGATCCAAGTTTAAAAAAACAAATCAAACTGAGCTATCTTCTGTCATGAGCTGACTGCTCTTGGCTGGCCTAAAAATAACAGGCCGTGTCTATCTGAAAGGATTTTGTGAACAAGGTCTTCAAAACCCGCCAGACCCACTGTATGTATTTAAAATCAAAATCATGGCTTATTTTTTAATGGTCTTCAATACACTGCCAGGCTTGTGTAATCTTTAGCTGATAAGCATTCATTTATAATTTTCTCAAATAATTGGAAAACAAAGACAGCTTTTTTTTTTTTTTTAAAATTGAGCAACGGAACAGTTATTTTGAAACCAGACCCCTTGGGGGAAATGGCAGGGCTTAAGGCTGATACTTATTGCATACATAGAAAACTGGGAAACTTTTAACATGAAAAGCAGAGATCCTAAATCATTAACTCTGTGTAGCTTTAACAAATACCCTTTGAAGCAATATTTGAAGGAAACATTGCTAGAACAGAGTCCAGGACTCCCTGCTCCCAGTTTTGCACCAACACAAATACAGCAGTGATTATGACCAGGACAGACCCACGCCAAGGGCTCTGCTGGTCCGTGTTTGTTTAGGAACAAGTATTTTTATCCAGCCTGATAACAGCTTTGATCATCTACTCTAATCTTTCTGGGCTCTTCCTTTACCTCATGAACATGGATGAATTCTGCTGCCAGGGCAGTAGTTGTGTTTAAAACAGAGCCGAGGCATCGAATACTTGTGACTTGTTGCCTTCCCAAAGATTTCCCAGGGGAGGCACAGGTACCTTCGTGGACTTCATAGGCATAATCCACTTAAATCTGATTTTCTTAATCACCTCTTGCAGAGCCCTTAGAAACAGTCCACATCTCCTTGCAGACTGAATACAGCTGAACTAGCTCAGCTCTTTTTAAATCAAGTTTAAGTGGGTTTATAAATGTTTTGCAACTGTCGCATCCCTGCTAGAACAAGTTGTCCCAGTCGGTGATTGCCTGGCCTGTTTTTGTTTTTCAGGAGAGCCTAGTTTTTGGTGTGAATCTCTCTGGCTGCAGCTTCATTTTCTAGCATGGCCCTAAATGCAAACTGTAGGTTAAAAATGGTTTTCCAAGCAGGAATACTCAGACTGGCCTATGCCTTCCTCGCTGTCTTTTCTGCATGTGGGGTCGGCCACCTTTCTGAAGTGAGTTTGGTTGTCAGTGTAGGAACAAACATGACTGAAAGGAGAATCATCTTGTGTCCAGAGATTAGGTAAAGTAACGCTGCTTGTAGAGTCGCCTCCTCAAGTCATGCCCCATGCCCAGGGAAGGGGGAGCACCAGAAAACCCTGGCTCCCAGGAAAGCTGTACGGAGTGTGTGATCCTGTAATTAAGGGCTTTTGCACAGTGCACAGAAGGGGGAGATTTGTTCCAAATGTAGCCTAAAATTACACATTCAGAGTGAATTTAACCACTCGCTATTAAAGTTTTTATTCCTCTTGATTGTGTAAGCCTCAATAATGCTGTGGCTTTGTCCTGGCTCCCCATGTTTCTGTTCCTGATGTGCGCCCAGCCCAGCCTTCCCTCCTCCACAGTGGGCAGGTTAGTGGCTAATTTTGGCACAAGAGAACAAAGAGTGGCACCATCCAGCTCCTGCTACTGTAAATGCTGAATTGCACTGGGCACTGTCCTGGCATCTCAGTTTTTAGAGGGTGTGATGAAATGACACTTTTTTAAAGGAACATAAGGGCAGGAGCAGACCTTGCCTTTGTTCTCTCGTGGCAGAAGAGTTGCCAAGGAAGGACAATTCGGTCCTTTGTTCCTGCAGGAGGGAGGCTCCCTGTGCCCGGCTCAGGTGAAGGGCTGCCTTTCCTTTGGGATGGCTGGGCTAAAAGCAGCTCCTGTTCTTGAGGTAGAGGGGAAGCATACGCAACCACAGCCCTGCCAAACCCCTCTGCTCTCTACCAGACACATGGACACACAGCAAGGCCCAGTGGAAGGATGTTCCTGTCTCAGTGTCTCAGTCCAGGTGGGATATATTGGGGTGTATGGCTCCTGAGACAGCTTCTTCCAGCTGTTTTAAGCAGGAATCTGAATTCCCTGCTCTGGGATGTTGCTGATGAGGAGTTAACTAAAGCTGTGCTAACAGCTTTAAACTCTGCTCTATAAACTGTACCCAGCATGTGTCTCATGATGTGCTCTCCAGCTTGTCCAGGCTGGCTGAAAGCAGGGCTGATCCTTCACAGAGGAGAGGAATGAGGGTGTTGCCTGCGTGATCGTGGCTGAAACCCTCTGTGGCTCTTGAACAAAAGCTTTCTTGTGCTGCTCTTGCCAAAAGACGTTCAGGTCCTACATTATCCTTGCCGAGCTGCACATCCAGACCCTTCAGTGTGCTGAAACCCTCACCATGTGGGTGAGCCCCGGGGTGCTGTCTGAATCCTGCCTGCAGCCAGGGAGTGGGAGAGGCACCCAGGACTCATGGTCTGCCCAGCCCTACAGCACTGGGCATCACTCCTTGTCCATCCCAGGGGCTTTCCCCAGCAGGACCTGCGGTCTGGCGAGTCCAGCCCTGGCTCTGCACCACTGCTGGACCCAGGAGCACTCCTGCTAGGCAGGTTTCCTTGTGAAATTCCTTACCCAGCTTTGCATTTGGGTAAATTATGAAATATGTATGAGCCTTAGGGAGCTGCAGAGAACTAAAGCATCCTTTCAGGAGGAGAGCTGGAGCATGGCTCTGTGTTGGACTGCAGCGAGCCCAGAGCCTCAAACCAGGCTGCTGAACGTGTCTCCATGGGCCACAAAGCATCCTCTTTCCTCTCAGTGTCAAGGGGAGATGCCTTGTGGAGTTCTGGAAAGCCCAGCCAGGGCACTTGTCAAATGCCTCCGATCCTGGGAGGTTACAAAGCTCAGATTACTCACTCTGGAGTACCTACAGCCCCGGGAAATGTCACGGCCCACCGAGCTGGCAGCATCACCCCTTCCACCACGCAGCCCGACAGGGCAGACAGACTGATGTCAGCTGCTGGGAGCTGGGGAGTTTGAGGTTTTGTACTCACCTTCAGCTACAACCCAGGGCAGGAAGGGGAGTCCTCTGGGGCAGGGGAGAGTAAAAAAAAAAAAAAGCCAAGTATTGCCATTGACCTAAAAGAAGTAGTATATAGTGCGTTGAGGTTCTGAGGTGCCTGTGCTCTGACACAAAGCTTTCCCTTGCAGGAGCAAGTTACTGTATAAAAGTGAAATCCTTCATTTAAAGCTGAGTCTGAGACTGAAGGTGGCCTGAGCCATAGTTTGCCAGCTTCCAGCCCCTCCAGTTCAGCCTGGCTGCCGGAGACAGCAGGAAGAAGCTGAAAGTTAGCAGAGAAAATATATGTTCTGCTGAGCTGCTGGAGCAATGGGCTTGCAGGATGTGATGGAGCGAGGAAAGGAGGAATACGGCAGGGCTGGGAGAGGAAGGAGTAGGAAGAGGGCTGTTGTTGGATCAGCTTGGCTATATGGCATAACTTCACCCTCAGTTTGTAACTGTCCCCATGACGTAAACTCCCCATCCACCCTTGGAGAAAATGAGTCACTTGTGTGGTAGTTGCACAGCAAGGCGAGGGGTCCTTGTGGGGCTTTATGACCTCCCGTGGCTCCTTAAGCCCTTTGAGACCAGTGAACCCTGCAGAGCTCGTCCTTGCCACCATACGGAGAAGGCAGCATGGGCCGCCGTACTCTGGCCAGTTGTTACACTTCTTTAATCCTTTAAGTATTATTGCTGCTAGAACCTATCCTAATGCTGTACTTCTAAAAACATCTTTTTTTTGTTTGGTAGATCTCCGAAGCTGGGAAGGACTCCTTGCCTTCTTGGTTGCACTGGAACGCGGAGAGCAGCTCCCTGGAAGGGCTGCCCCTGGACACAGACAAGGGTGTCCACTACATCTCGGTGACCACGCTGCAGCACTTCCCAAACGGGAGCTATGTGCCACAGACCACAAACGTCTTCTCCGTTGAGGTGCACCAAGAAGACCACAACGAGCCTCAGTCGGTGCGAGTGGCCGTCCAAGACACGGGTGACGCAGCGCCGTTCGTGTGCGGCTCGGAAGAGCCGGTCACCATCCTGACTGTCATTCTGGATGCTGACTTGACAAAAATGACACCAAAGCAGAGGATTGAACTCTTAAACAGAATGAGAAGCTTCTCAGATGTGGAACTTCATAACATGAAGTTGGTTCCTGTTGTAAATAACAGACTCTTTGACATGTCAGCCTTCATGGCTGGACCGGGAAATGCAAAGAAGGTGGTGGAAAATGGGGCCTTACTCTCATGGAAACTGGGATGTTCTCTGAGCCAAAACAGCGTCCCCAACATCAGCAAGGTGGAGGCTCCAGCTAAGGAAGGAACCATGTCTGCCCGCCTTGGGTACCCTGTTGTTGGCTGGCACATTGCTAACAAGAAACCTCACCTCCCAAAGAGGATGCGGCGGCAGATCAACGCCACCCCTACGCCTTTGACTGCCATCGGGCCGCCCACCACTGCCGCACAAGAACCGCCCACCAGAATTGTCCCCACCCCGACATCACCTGCCATCGCGCCTCCCACGGAGACGACGGCACCCCCTGTCCGGGAGCCCATTCCCCTGCCGAGGAAGCCCACAGTCACCATCAGAACCAGGGGCCCCATCGTTCAGACGCCCACGCTGGGACCGATCCAGCCAACCAGGGTAGCAGAAGGCACGGGCACGGCCTCTGTGCCGATTCGCCCCACGATGCCCGGGTATGTAGAGCCCACGGCCGTGATCACGCCGCCCTCAACTACCACCAAGAAGCCAAGAGTCTCCACTCTGAAGCCAGGCACGCCATCCACAACGGATTCCTCCACGGCAATAACACGAAGGCCTACTCGAAGGCCCAAAACTCCCCGTCCAACAAAGCCTCCCAGCACAACCAGATCCCCCATCTCCAAGCTGACAACAGCCTCCCCACCGTCCCGCGTGCGCACCACAGCGAGCGGGCTCCCCCGGCCCTGGGAGCCCAATGAGCCACCCAAGCTGACGAACCACATCGACAGGGTCGACGCATGGGAGGGAACTTACTTTGAGGTTAAGATACCGTCAGATACCTTCTACGACAAGGAAGACACCACCACTGACAAGCTGCAGCTGACCTTGAAGCTGAAGGAGCAGCAGATGATCGAGGAGAATTCATGGGTGCAGTTCAACAGCACCAGCCAGCTCATGTACGGCATGCCAGACCGCAACCACATCGGGAAGCACGAGTACTTCATGTACGCCACTGACAAGGGCGGGCTTTTCGCCGTGGATGCTTTCGAAATCCATGTCCACAAACGCCCGCACGGGGACAAGTCTCCAGTGAAGTTCAAGGCCAGGCTGGAAGGGGACCACAATGCGGTGGTGAACGATATCCATAAGAAGATCATGCTGGTGAAAAAGCTGGCTCTGGCGTTCGGTGACAGGAACAGCAGCACCATTACGGTGCAGGACATTGCCAAAGGCTCCATTGTCGTGGAGTGGACTAACAACACGCTGCCCCTGGAGCCCTGCCCTCGGGAGCAGATCCGGACTTTGAGCAAAAAAATTGCTGATGACTCTGGGAGGCCGAGCCCGGCTTTCTCCAATGTCCTGCAGCCCGAGTTCAAGCCTCTGAACGTGTCAGTGGTCGGCTCCGGCAGCTGCAGGAACATCCAGTTTGTCCCCATGACCAAGGACGGCAGGGTGATCTCTGAGGCGACGCCGACGGTGGTGGCAGGCAAAGACCCCGAGAAGAGCAGCGAGGACGACGTGTACCTGCACACTGTCATCCCTGCCGTGGTGGTGGCCGCCATCCTCCTCGTGGCCGGCATCATCGCCATGATCTGCTACCGCAAGAAGAGGAAAGGGAAGCTGACCATCGAAGACCAGGCCACCTTCATAAAGAAAGGCGTGCCCATCATCTTCGCCGACGAGCTGGACGACTCCAAGCCTCCGCCGTCCTCCAGCATGCCACTCATCCTCCAGGAGGAGAAAGCCCCACTCCCCCCCCCAGAGTACCCCAACCAGAGCATGCCAGAGACCACGCCACTCAACCAGGACACCATCGGGGAGTACACGCCACTGCGGGATGAGGACCCCAACGCGCCGCCCTACCAGCCTCCCCCACCCTTCACCGCTCCCATGGAGGGGAAAGGCTCCCGCCCGAAGAACATGACCCCGTACAGGTCCCCACCGCCCTACGTCCCCCCTTAATGAACGGGAGGCCCTCGGGGGAGAAGGGGCCTCCAGCTCCACACCGGTGCTGTCTGTGGGCCGGCAGCCCCCTCGCCAGCCGGGAACACGAAACCCCAGCCCGCTCCCCAGCAGGCTCTCCCTGGCTGCGCCTGCCGCACCGGAGCGCTCGCAGGACTCGGGGGGACACTTGTTTTATTTTTGCCTAACAAGCTTTGGTTTTATTTTATTCATAGAAAAAATATTCTCGGCTCAAAGACGCCTTCCTGGCGGCTGGGCTTCGGCCGGGGCCGGGGCGGCGGGCAGGGAGGGGGGTCGGGACGGGTTGGGCCGGGTCGGGAGGAGCAGGCAGCACTGGGGTAGCACTCTGGGTCTCCGCTGTTTGCCTTTAACACTAACTGTACTGTTTTTTCTATTCACGTGTGTCTAGCTACAGGACGTAACATGAAAGGTAGCCTAAAAATAATTAAATTCAAGGGACTTTCTGAAGTCAATGGTTTAAGTTTTTACATTTAATCTGCTGTTTACCTAAACTGGGATGTTTTTGGGGAGGGGTAGAGCAGTGCTGTGCTGCAGGCGAGCTCAGTGCTGGTTTAGGGGAGAGCCCTTGAGGACAGCAAGCCGCCTCCTCCTCCTCCTCCTCCTCCTCTTTGGGGGACCAGCTTCTTGGTTCAGGATTTGATTCTTTTATCGTTTTTATTTTATTTTTAATCAAAGAAATCCTATTTTTCTCACGAATCATAAATTAGTCATCAGTTGGGTCAGCCTGCCTTGGGGTGCCTGTGGCTGAGCGCCGGGTGCAGTGCTGTGCTGGGGATGCTCACAGGAGGGTGAGCCGAGCCCTGTGCCACCACAACTTCTCTGCTTCCCAGCGAATGCCAGGGTTGGGGGAAGTTCTTTTTTAAGTAAAACCCCCGCCCTGAAGGGGTTTTGGCGACGGTGGGGTGTGTTCTCTGTCCTGGCTGCTCCTTGGGAGTGGCGCGGGAACGGCCTCGCTGGCCTCACGCTGGCACTCTGGCCCGGACACTGTTGGAAAAGATAAAAAAGTTTAAAAAAAATTAAAAAAAAAAAAAAAAAGAAAAAAATTAAAAATGCACCAGGAATAGTTAATAGTAAAAAAAAAAAAAATCAGTGCACTCTCAAATCTAATTTTTTACTAAATTTTTGATACAGCCTCCAATTGTTTTATTAAAGAAAAAAAGACTTACAAACCGGTGTGCGGCTGCCAGCAGTTTGTACGGGCTCAGCCCCCTCGGGCCGGCCCCCGGGGACCTGCCACGGTACCGGTACCTCCCCATCCCCTCCGCTCCGCGCCCCGGCATCCCCAGCCGGGATTTGGCCGTGCGCGCCCCAAGTGACCCCGCACACCGGGGCCGGACCCGCCGCCTCCCTCCCTCCCTCCCTCCCTCCAGGACGGCGCTGCCGGAGTGGCCTCGGGAGGGGACCAGGGGGTGCTCACTCCCCTCCTCCGGCCTCGGCGCCGCAGGGGCGAAAAACAAATCCGCACGGGGATGCCGGTGCCGGTATGGGGGAGATGCGAGGGGTGGTCCCGGGGTGGGGGGGATGCCCGGAGTGAGCGCGGCCCCGAGCGCGGCCCCGAGCGCGGCCCCGGCACCGCCCCCGCCGCGGCGGGGCCGCCCCGGGACAGCGGCGGGGCGGGGGCGCCCCCTGCCGGTGCCCGCGCGCCGTGACGGCCCGGCCCGGCCCCGCCCCGGAGCGGCGCCGCCATGTCGGGAGCGGCGGGGCCGGGTCCGCCCGCCGGGCAGGGCCGCTCCCCGCTGCCCTGCGCCCCCCGCCCCGCCGCCCCGCTGCAGCTGGCCGGGGGGGCCGAGCCCGCACGGCCCGGCGTCGCCGTCATCGACCTCCGCTTCCCCCACGGCGCTGCCGCCGACGTGAGTGCGGCCGCGCCCGCGGCGGTTACCGGCGGGGGGGGCACCGGGGTGGTACCGGGGGATGACAGCGGGGATGCCGGGGGCGGTGCCGGGGTGGTGGATACCGGGGTGGACCCAGGGGGCGGCAGGGGCGATACCGGGGGTGGTACAAGGGCGGTGGAGCCGGAGGTCGGGTGTGGTGCCGGTCTCGGGGCGGGATGCGGGATGTGGGGGCGGCAGCTGTGGCGGGGCGGGGGGGGATGCCGGTGACGGTATAGGGGGGACGCCGGGGGCGGTATAGGGGGGATGCCGGGGGCGGTGCGGGGGAGATGCTGGGGGCGGTCCCGGAGCCGGGGTAATGCTCGTGCTGGGGTAACACCGGCACCGATGGTGGGCGGGATGCTGGGCGCGGTCCGGATACCGGTATGAGGGGGAGTGATGTCGATGCCCGTCCCAGGAGTGGGAGGGATGCTGGTGAGGGTGGCAAAACGGGGATATGCCAGTGCCGATAATAGGGGGGCATGCCGGTCCCGGTATAGAGGGATGCTGGTGCCGGTGTGGGAGTGGTGTCGGTGCAGGTGAAGTGTGGGGTGTGGCGGTGCCAGTATGAGGGGGATGCCGGTGCTGGTGCCGCTATTGAGGGGCGGGGGGGTTGCCGGTGCTAGAGTCAATGTGGGGGGTATGCCGGTCCCGGTATGGGGAGGGTGCCGTCCTGGTATGGGTGTGCCGGTGCGGGGCTGAGGCCGCTGGTCCCGCAGGTGCAGGAGATCGTCTTCAGGAACTTCTACACGGCGTTCCTGAGCGTGCGGGTGCAGCGGTCCGGCCCCGGCGGGTCCCGGCGCTGGGTGACGTGCCTGCGGGACCTGTGCCTGATGCCCTGCCCGCACACCGAGGAGGGCTCCCAGGACTACTTCTGCCTCCGCCGGCAGCAGGTGAGCCTGGACTGTGCCTGTGGCATCACCCTCCCCTCTGGGGCTCACCCCTCTTCACCCACGCCCCAGGATGGCTCCTGGGCCCGGAGGCCTGGTGCTGATGCCCCACCAACCACCACGCCCACAGCAGGGTGGCAGGTCCTGCGATGCCATCCTGCCCCTGCCAGCCCTGCTCAGCAGCAAGGGTCCCTGTGCCCCACTCAGCCCAGACAGCCACCACAGGGCAATGCTTCCCTCGGGCTCCTCTTTGGGGTGGGTTTTCTGGAGAATACCCCAAAAGCTGCCCCTGATTAGCACCAGCCCCTGTGGTGACACTCCCTGGCCCTTGCCCCACAGATGCTGTGTGATGTGGACCAGGTGACAGCCATGCGGTTTATCCTGCGACAGCCCTCCCCAGTCTGGCTCCACTTCACCATCGAGGAGCTGCAGATTTTCCCCCCTGGACAGAAGGTGAGCGGATGCTGGTGCTGCCCCACTGCCAGGTGTGGGCAGGGGGCCAGGACAAGCCACTATCCCCAGCCCTGTGCCTGGCATTGCTCTGCACAGCTCCAGGGAGCACACACAGGAGCGTGGGTCCGAGTCCTCATCCTTCACTTGGGTCCCCTTGTTCTCCAAGGATGCTGGCGAAGGGACTGCTCCAGCCAGCCCCAGCCCTGCCCTGTCAGAGGTGGTTGTTTGAGCAGCAGGATGGAACTGGAGGCTGCTGCATCAAGTTACAGGTTGCAAACAACTACTCCAAACACAAAATTCCCTTTGGCGATGGAAAAGTGACACTACATCCATAGCAATATCACTATGGGTGGGCTCCAAACCCCAGCACACTGCACGGTGTGAGGGATGAAGGTGGGACTGGGGACACCTTTGTGTGACCCTCTGGATCTGTTTCAGAGCCCGCAGAAGGATTTCCCCTCCTGGCTCTCCCAGCTGACCCCTCCGGAGCAGCCAGCCAGCCTGCATGGGGTGAGTGATCCCTGCTGAGGTACTGGGGGGAAGGAGGGACCTGTGTGGGGTGCAGACTGGGACCATCCCTCGGGGGGCTGCCAGCCCCATCCCTGCCCTGTCAGCTTCAGGCTCCCACCTGGAATAGCTGTGGAGCCCTGAAATAACCCAACTTGTGCTGGAAGTAGTTTGCAGGGTTCAGAAGAAAATTATCTCCATAGGGATGTGCGATTTGAGGTGATGATTAAGTGCCTGCCCTCTAGTCTGGGGACAGAAATGTCCGCAAGGGAGCAGTGGGTGCACAGCAAGGCTCAGTAGCAGGTGGGACAGGTGGGGATGGGAACAGGGACATCCCCAAGGGAGCGGTGGGTGCACAGTATTGCTCACCCAGCAGGTGGGAAGTGTGGGGACAAGGACAGAAACATCCTTGTAGGACCAGTGGGTGCGCAGCATGGCTCAGCCAGCAGGTAGGATGCATGGGGACAGGGACCAGTGGGTGCGCAGCATGGCTCAGCCAGCAGGTAGGATGCATGGGGACAGGGATGTCCCTGTGGCAGCAGTGGGTGCACAGCATCGCTCAGTAGTGGGTGGAATGTGTGGGGACAGGCCAGCCTGGCTGGTCCCCGGCGCTTTGCAGAGGGTGTGCCCTGGGGAGCACGTATCCCATTGGGGACAGAACACAGGCGGAGGGAGGTCACAGCAACGGCATGTGTTTACAGCTTGCCAGCCAGATCTGCCTGGCCTGTGGCCTTCGATGGGCAAAGTCCAGGCAGAGCAGGGCTGAGATGGGAGCTGGCTCATCCATGGGAACCTGCTGAATCAGCTGGAGGCGCTACCTGCAGGAGGGTGGCAGAGCATCCAGACCAGCCTGGGCAGTTCTGCCACCTGGCTTTGGTACTATGGTGCTCATACTGCACCACCAGTGAGGCTCCTGCTGGCCCCAGCAGGTCCGGGAGCCCTGGTTGCTGACCAGCTGTGTGACAGTTTGGGGAGAGCACCCCAGATTGCTTAGAACATGTTCTCCTCGGCAAGGGGAGTCCGGGGGAGATGCCAGGGGTTGCTCTAGGCTTGGTTATTCCCAGCATCACCACAAGGCACCCACCAGCCTGGTGCCACAGAGCTGTGCCCCAACTGGGAGAGCTGCTGCTGAGCCCACCAGTCCCACCTGGCTAAAGGTCCCTGGGTGAACCAGCACCTGGGACCAGGTTTCTGCTTCCAAGCCCAGGGAGCATTTCATAGGGAGGCTGTTGGGAAACTGGACTGTATGATTAGGTTTTTAATCATTAGCCAGTGATTGGCTTTCTGTCCTCATCCTGGCCACCTGCCAGCAGGTGGGCTGTGACAGCACCACAGCACCGGGGATCAGGGTCACCCATTTCCCCAACTGCTTGTTTTCCTAGAGAAGGGAGCCCTGTTGGGAAACACCCCATGTTGGGAAACCACCAGCAGATCAGGAGCATGGACAATAGTGCCCAGCTCCTTGGGGAGCACAGCCGTGCAGCCACACCACTGCCCCAACCTGGGGTGACCCAGCCCATTCAGGCCATCCCCTCTCCACAGCATTGTGATCACTTCTTTCCAGGAGCTCCCCGACCCAGAGAAGGTGTCGACAGAGGTCCAGCAAATGTGGGTGCTGACAGAGGTGATCCGGGCTCGCCAGGCAGCCACCCGCATCGGGCGTTTCGACGTGAGTCCCCCACCCCACTTACGGGGACCCCGGCCTTGCTGCACGGCCAGGGAGCCCTCCTGGAGGGGCTGCTCCCAGCAGGATGGGGTTGGGGTGTCCCAGCAGTGACCGTGCTGTGCAGACACCGACAGCCCCTCTCTTTCCCAGGTGGATGGCTGCTACGATGTCAACCTGCTTTCCTACACCTGAGCCCGCCGGTGCCACTTGCTGGTGCCGGCTGGAGGGAAGTGCCCATCCATGCTCCCGGGGCCCAAGTGGACTCCTGTGTTCCCCGCCTTGGCCGTCGACCCCGCGGCCCCGAGGGGTCCCAAGCCCTCCCTGTGCCCATTCCCCGACTCCCCCTGCGCTGTCTGCCATTGAGGAGCAGCGCTACCGCTCCCGAGCCCCCTGTGAGCTCTCCCGGGCACGTCCCGCGGGCAGAGCCCGGACCCCACCCCACTCTGCAAGGGGGTGCGGGGGGACCGAGGGGTGCGGGCGTGCTGGGGGGTCACCTCGGTCACCACTAAAAGCTGCTACCTTGGCCCTGCCTGTGCTTGCCTGTCTCTGGGGGATGGGGGTAGCCGTGGCCGGCGGCCCCGGGGAGGCGGTGCCGGGGGCGGGCCGGGGCGGAGGCGGGGGCCGGGGCCAGGGCCAGGGCCAGGGCCGAGCGGACTCCATGTCCCAAGCTCCCTGGGGCCGGTCCGAGCCGTGCCGGGAGGGAGGAGGAAGAGGAAGATGCTGCGGGCGGGCTGCCGCGCCGCGCTGCCCCGCCGGCCCTCGGGCTCGGCGCCGCGGAGAGGGGCCGGGGGGACCGCGGCGGAGGGGCTGAAGCAGACGCCGCTGGATGCCCTGCACCGGGCCCGCGGCGGGCGGATGGTGCCGTTCGCCGGCTGGAGCCTCCCGCTGCAGTACGAGCAGGGCCACCTCCAGTCACACCTGCACACCCGCCGGCACTGCTCCCTCTTCGACGTCACCCACATGCTGCAGGTAGCGGGGTCGGAGGGGGGATTGGGGCGGGAGAGTACCCGCACTGCCTCACACCCTCCCCCCGGCCCCTTCCAGACCCGGGTGTACGGCCGGGACCGCGTCAGGTTCATGGAGAGCCTGGTGGTGGGGGACATCGCCGAGCTGAAGCCCGGACAGGTACGGGGCACCGGGCAGGCATTGGGCATCCAGTGGGGTCAGAGGTCCCCGGGATGCCCTGGGAGGGACCAGACAGCCTGCCCATGCTCCCAAGGGCTGCATCCCACAGGGCACCCTGACACTGCTCACCAACGAGAAGGGCGGCATCACAGACGACCTCATAGTCATCAACACGTGGGAAGATCACCTGTATGTGGTGTCCAACGCCGGCTGTGCTGACAAGGACTCGGCCATCTTCAGGGTATGGGGCTGCCCGAGCCCCGCGGGCAGTGGGGACATGCAGTGGGAATGAGTCTGGCCACCTTTTGGTGACAGCCCTGGCTGCGCACGGTGAGGTGGCTGTGGCCACGTCTGGGGCTGGCACTGGCCTGGCCCTGCCCCTGTGCTAGCAGCCCGCTGTCACCCTGGCAGGACAGAGCAGAGGAGCTACAGGCCACTGGCAGTGATGTCCACCTGGAGGTGTCAGACAACGCGCTGCTGGCTCTGCAAGGTAGCAGGGTTCCCACATGGGCCTGCCCTCCTCTGAGTCCTTGCCCAATGGATGTCAGTGCCCTCCCCACATTCCCCCCCTTCCCCGGGCACTGCCATCTCCCAGCCACCAACCTCCCCAGGTCCCTCCATGGTGCGGGTGCTGCAAGCGGGGCTGTTGGATGACCTGGCCAAGCTCTCCTTCATGAATAGCATCTCCACAACTGTCTTTGGCGTGCCGGGCTGCCGGGTCACGCGCTGCGGCTACACCGGCGAGGATGGCGTGGAGGTACCCTGGGAGCTGTGCCAGCACCCCCACCACTGTACCGAGGGAGGGGAAGGCCGTGCCTTACTGACCCTGCCCATGTGCCCCCGCAGATCTCGGTGCCTTCAGGGCGGGCGGTGGAGCTGGCCGAGCGGCTGCTGGATGTCCCCGACGTGTGGCTGGCAGGGCTGGCAGCCAGAGACAGCCTGCGCCTGGAGGCCGGGCTCTGCCTCTACGGCAATGACATCGATGAGACCATCACCCCTGCTGAGGCTGGGCTGATGTGGACCTTGGGTATGTCGGGGCCACATACACCTCCTCCTCGGGTTGGGCAGAAAGGCAAGGTGTTCCCAATGGGAGTACAAGGGGACCAGGCAGGCATCACCAACCCTCACCCATCTCTGCCCCGCAGGGAAGCGCCGGCGCGCGGCCATGGACTTCCCCGGTGCTGCGGTCATCATGGCACAAGTGAAGGAGAAGCCAAGGCGCAAGCGTGTGGGGCTGACGTCAGTGGGACCCCCCATCCGGCCCCACATGGCCATCCTGGGCCCCGAGGGCAGGCCTGTGGGTAGGTGGGGACAGTGGGGCTGGGGTGGGCACAGCCCCAAACTGTGGCCATGGCAGGGGAGGGTGGTGCTGCCAGCCCCTGCTCACCTCCCCATGTCCTCACATCCCAGGCACAGTGACCAGCGGCTGCCCCTCGCCCTCCCTGGGCAAGAACATCGCCATGGGCTACGTGGAGGCAGCGCACAGCCGGGCGGGCACCCAGCTCACTGTTGAGGTGCGGAAGAAGCAGCACCCGGCCCTCATCACCAAGATGCCCTTTGTGCCCACCCAGTACTACATAGCCAAGTGAGGCTGGTGCCTGCCATGGGCACAGTGCCCCAGCCCCAATAAATGCCCTGTCCCATTTTCCTGGCCTCCTCTGCAGTGACAGTGGCGGCGCCAAAGCAAGGGGCAGTGGGTGGGCACAGCACTTTAATGGTGTGGGCAGTGCCCAGCCGATGGTCCTGGCGCTCCTCACTCCCGGTGTGTCTTCGTGGGCTCCACTGCTGGGCCATCCCTGCAAGACAGGGCCAGTGTGAGGGGGGCTGGGGAAGCACCCTAGAATGGTACCCCAGCACTGGGGCAGGCACCTGCCTGTCTGTGTAGGGCAGGCAGGGCTGGGAAGGCACTTACTGGGGCTTACTGGTCTAGGGTGCGGCTGGGGGGATGCTCACTGGGGGGCACTGGTCTGTCTAGGGGCACAGCTGGAGGGGGCTCTCACTGGGGGACACTGGTCTAGGGGCAGAGCTGGGTGGGGGCACTGGTCTGGAAGCACAGCTTGGGAGGACTGGGCATGGGGGCACTCACTGGGCTGTACTGGTGCAGGGGTGCAGTCAGGAGACCGAGCGTTCACTGGGGGGCACTGGGTGGGCGTTGCTCGGACGGCGCCGGCCGGGCGCGGCGGGGCTCGCAGCGCGGAGGGGGCCGGACGGGGGCCGCGGTGGGTGAGCGGTTTTGGGCCCGGTAGCGGTCGGGACTCACCGGGGCGGGCAGTGCCGCTCGGCGGCGCCGTTCCGTCCGGCCGGGCCAGAGGGGGACAGGGAATGCGCGCGGGGCCGGGCGGGCGCGGGCCCGGAGGCGGTGCCGGTGCCGGGAGAGCGGCGTGCGGCGGGGCCGGTGCGGTAGCAGAGAGCGGCCACCGCCCCGCCGTAGGCGCGCCAGGCCAGGCGGACGCCCAGCAGGCTGAGGCCCAGCCAGAGCAGCAGCAGCTGGCACAGCGCGGCCCGCACGTCCTGCGCCGCCCACTCGGCCGCCAGCTCCCGGCCCAGCGCCGCCAGCGCCCGCCACGGCGGCTGCCACCCCGCCGCCACCGCCGCCATGGCCGCGGGAACGGGACGGGCGGGGCTCCGGGGGCGGGGCTAACGGGTAGGGCGGGGCTATCCGGGGCGGAGCCACCGCCGCCATGGCCGCGGGGAACGGGGAGGGCGGAGCTCCGGGGGGAAGGGGCTACCTGAGGGGGCGTGGCCTCCGTCAGCCAGTCTCTGTCACTGCCGGGGGGCGTGGCCTCCGGGATGACACTCCCCGGGGCGGGGCCTGCCCGGTGGGCGAGGCCGCCATGGCGGGAAGTGGCGGGGAGTCGCGGTACTCGCGGCAGTTGTGAGTGCGGGGATGGCACTGGAACGGCACCGGGGCAGGGGCAGGAGGAGGGCGGGGGCGGCGCGCCCCCAGGCCCCACTGACGGCCCCCGGGCCCCGCTGACACCCCCCGCCGCTACCCGCAGGTACGTGCTGGGCGGCGGAGCGCGGCGGCTGCCCGGTGCGGCGGTGCTGGTGTCGGGGCTCCGCGGGACCGGAGCGCAGGTGGCGGCGGCGCTGGTGCTGTCGGGGACGGGGCGCGTCGTCCTGCACGATCGCGGCGCCGCCTGCGCGGCCGACCGCGCCCACCAGGTACCGGCGGGGCCGGGCGGGGCTCCCGGTAATGGGTACAGGTGTGGGTTCACTGTGACGGGTACAGGCACAGGTGAGGGTCTCATAGCAGGTACGAGGGGAAATGCCGGTAGTAGGTACGGATATGGGTGGGGAGCCTGGTAACAGGCATGGACAGAGATCCCACTAATATGTACTGGTATGGGTAGACATCACAGTGATTGATACGGGTATGGATGGGGGGTCCCCGTAACATGTATGGGTATAGACAGGGGTCCTGATTATGGGTACAGACCCAGGTGGGGGTCCCAGTAACATGTATGGATATAGACAGAGGTCCTGATTATGGGTACAGACCCAGGTGGGGTCCCAGTACTTGGTACAAGTATGGACGGGGATCCCCATATGGATACAGACAGGGTTCCCAGTAATGGGCGCAGGTTTGGATAGAGGCCCCATGACATATAGGTAACAGACAGGGGTCTTGGTATGGGTGCAGACCAGTGGGGGTCCCAATACCAGGTATGGGTATGGATGGAGGTCACAGTAATGGCTGCAGATGCAGATGGGGGATCCCTGTTGCAGGTATGAGTACAGGGTGAGGGGGCTCTCAATAATAGGTACAGGTTGGGAGTCCTGGTAAGGCTCAGGGTGCTCTCATTGTCACAGGTAGGGTCCTCAGCAGAGGCCTCCTCACCAGTGCAGACAGGGCCCCGTGGAGCACCCCACTGTGGTGACTGCACCCCAAACCTGCAGGGTGCCCCACCACCTGTCCACTCTGCAGTTCCTCCTGGGGCAGAGCGATGTGGGCCAGAACCGTGCTGAGGCATCCCAGCGAGTCCTGGCTGAGCTGAACCCCAGTGTGGTGGTGGAGGCTCATACCGGGGAGCTGTCAGAGGCCTTCCTCGCCTCCTTCCAGGTGAGCCTGTGTCCCCATGCCCTGGGGTCCCTTGGGTTGGTGGCATCCACTGATAGTCCTGGCACAGGTGGTGGTGCTGACTGAGTCGCCGCTGGAGGAGCAGCTCCGCGTTGGGGACTTCTGCCATGCTCGGGGCATCTGCTTCATTGTGGCCGATGCCAAGGGGCTGGCAGGGTAAGGGATCTCTACCATGGGGCCCTGCCACTGGCTCCAAGTCACCTTATCCCCAGAGCTCCCAGCCCTGTGCTGCAGTCCCCATCCCGCTGGCCCAGGCAGGATCTGGCAGTGCTGTGGCAGCTTGATAAGGCAGCTTCTCCAGCAAAGCCCCATCGGTCC